CTGAGACGTTTGTAGGCGCATAGCATTGAATGACTGTAACTTTCCTTCCTTTTGAGTTGAACCTGGCTGTCATTATCCTGGAGGAGATTGGTTCCCACTGCATGAGAGCTTTGGTTGCTGTTGGTGACATCATGATGGCCACTCCCTCGGTGTGCTCATGGTTGTCCTCTAGGTGGCCGGAATAGATTACTGTCTCTCCAGTAGGTAGTTGGCACCTTCCAGTTCCGTTCCATCTGCTCTCGCAGATTCCCAACACTTCTATTCTGTACCTTCTCATTTCAGCGGCTATCTGGGCAGCCTTTCCAGTTTCGTACATTGTGCGAACATTCCAGGTACCCATCCTTACTTTTGCTTTCATCGAAAGAAGGGCACTATGGTAGAATGTAATTTCAAATTAGATAAGATTATTTCATATATTTCACAGTGATGATACAATAATAATAACTGGATGACAACGTTTCGAGCACAATTTATTACTGCTCAAAATCATTTCAATTTCCATATGCTGTTTGTTGACACTTTTCTCCGGCATAGACGTTGCGTCATTCTGACTGCACTTGTGTCGTGTTGGATTGACAAACAAAGACTCACTGATTAACTTCTCTCTCTCTCCACGTAACTAAATTACTATTTAATACTCTCACCCTGTTCCAGTTGACTAAGTGGATACAAGGTTATGAAAATCTTCTGACAACATCCAGTCCCAGTGGGGGTTAACTAGAATGAGAATTATTTCATTCGCGTACAATCCAAGTGTCACATTTAATTTTGAAGATGGTTTTATTATTATTTCCTTTAATTCCTAAAGGAACATAGGGCTTCAGCTGCGTATCTCCATTGAGTTCGATTCTCTGACAACGTTGTCATCTGACACCCAGTCTGCCCACATGCTTTCATCTCCACATCCTATGACCTCCTTAAAGTCACCCTCGCACTGACGACCGACTCGCCGCTTCCCATTCAGTCGGGTTCCACTCGAGCGATGGCTTGTCTAGTGATGTCACTTGATGGTTTCCTCAGAGTATGTTCAGCCAATCCATCTCCATTTTTTCCTGCCTATTTGTTTCTTAATCGGTTCCTGCTTGGTTGGTTGGTTCGCTGATTGCCAGAGATCCCTTTTGCTGATCCTTTCTGGCCGGCCATCTGATCTTGAGTATTCAGCGACGACAACTGTTAATGAAGGTCTGTGGTTAGTTTGAGATGCTCTTTATGACGCTCTGGTCAAGTCTCTGATCCGTATAGTGAGTAGCACTGACTGACTTCATATTGGAGTTGAAAATCCGGATCTTATTTTCATTTTCATGTTGAGTGCTGTTGACATCCACACAGACTTGAGAGTAATGATAGCTTGTCTCGCTTTCCCGATTCTGGCTTTGATACCCTCGTCAATTCCGCTGGTCTGTAGCTGAAACGATGCTTCCCTCGAAGGTAGGTAAAGGAGGTTGTTTCTTTCAGGTTCCTCCCATTTATCCTGGCTGATTGTTGTCTGTTGTTGTTGTTGCTGTTGGTGTTGGCCAGGAATCTTCATCACCTCTGTTTTCTCTGTGTTCACCTGAAGTCCTATCTTCTCTGGATGCTTCTTCTGCCAGCTTGTTGCTTTTTACTTTCATATCTTCCAGTTTGTGGGAAATCAGACATATATCACCGGCGAAGTCCAGATCCTCCAAGTCTCTTTTTGTATGAGTTCATTTTATGCCTGCTTCCTCGTTGCCCGTTGTCTGTCGCATTATCCAATCAATTGCAATCAGGAAGATCATTGGTGATAGTAGACAGCCTTGCCTCACTCCCGTACCCACTTCGAAGGCTTCCGTAAGTTTCCCGCTGTGGATTACTTCGCGGTATGCAGCATTGTCGTACAACTGTTGGATGAGATGTATAATTGTCAATGGAACCCCTTGTTAGTAGCAAAGTAGTTTCCAAATCACCTCGCGATTGACGCTGTCGAAGGTCTTTTCAAAGTCGATGAAGTTGAGTGAGATAGAGAGGTGACTGCCATTCCAAGCTTTGTTCAATGATGATCCGTAGAGTGGCGATTTGATCAATACATGACTTGTTTCTCCTGAATCCAGCTTGTTCCGGTCGGAGTTTTGCATCCAGGACTTGTTTGATTCTCTCCAGGATGATGCGGCTTAGTATTTTGCATGAGATGGATAGGAGCATAATTCCGCGCCAGTTTTCTCATTGACTGAAGTCATTAAGTCCGCTGTTGTCTCTGGATCCATAAGCTGATCGTATGCACAGTAACACGTGATAATATTTCTGCATTGTCATCATCATCATAGGACCTTTGTCAGAAGGCGATGAGATATCATAGCTGCCTTTTGTCTGCTATTTTTTTCCTTTTTTCTCCTCTATAGTTCAATGATCAATGAGTCAATAGCAGATATTATCTTTAAATCGAATGCAACAAACATCTCCATCATTGAATATTCCAGTTATATATACGAAACAATATGTGAAAATATCTACAGCAATATCATAAAACTTAGTGGTAATAGTAGTATTTGTAATAATAATAATAATTATAATACCGGAATTAAACAAAAATCACTGGAATCATTGAAACGATGTCGAACAAAATGTTTGCGGTGTTTGCTAATAGTTCGAAAGGTGAATCATATTCTTAAATTGTTAGACAACTGGGGATTGTGTAAAGGTGAGATACATGTATTTTTTTTCAAAACATAGTTTGCTTGACTCCTGTCGGGTGTATTGCTTTGCAAACTTGTTACAGTTAGAAATTTGTAATGAATAATGAAATATTGTGCTGAATACCGTCCACAAATCAGAGGTATATTCTTTCAGGTTTTTCCATCAGAAATATTGATCTCTTTTATGTTTTATGTGGTTGATAATCGCCACTATGAGAGTCTGCGATGAATGTTTCGTCATATCTGCGGTTCATCATTTGGGCCTACTTGCACTCTCCCATTCAGGGATGACGTTCTCACTGAAAAATGAACCCACTAACCCTGGTTATAAACGTCAAGTTGTTTTGTTAAGAACATTATGTGCTTATTGTGATTCACCTATTCCATCAAAAGAAACTGCTACGGTCATCAGAATCTGACGAATTATCTTCAAGGGTTAGTCAAAAGGCATTTTCGAAATTAATTATAACTTATACAATGTAAATGAACAGATTTTTGAACCTTTATATGAATTTGAATCTCCCCCATTCCACTCAGAATCCAAGGAAACAATAACGGTAATAATATGAAGTGATCGTTTAACCATTTAAATATCCATATCACTGTAATCTTATCTTTATATCGTTTGTATGTATTTACCAATCATTTAAATGAAATGTGTTTGATTTACTTCAAGTAATGGAACTACTTATTGACCTTTCGGTAAAGTCATTAAAGGAAATCATGTTTCAAGTTAGATGAGAGCAATTTTTCATCATTACTGTTCGTTTCTTGAGTCCCGAGATGTACATCCCCTTTCACTCAGTCTTCTGATATGACTTTCAGCAATCACCACAAATGTCCACAAGCTTTCATTTTCTCTTCATATGATTTTTTCCATGTCACATTCAGACACCAATCCATGGCTACCCACTCGGGGTATTTCATGTCTCTTCAGTAGATTTCCAATCCATCACCTTTTCCATCTGTATGTTTGTTGGCTGTTCCACTGTGGTTTATCCACTCTGACTGGCCATCTAATGTTCAAAGAGCACCTTGCATTTACATAAATCATTCGATCTCATGCAGGATGTTTCAACGCAGTTTGTACTAGGTGACAATTAAAGTCATTGACTGCTGAACAAGTATTTTCCTTATTCAGATTGTTTTCATGTTCTAGTATGAAGTTCTTCTGGACCTCGACGCGCTTTTCGATTACTACGTTACACTAAGCTATATAAAATTCTTATTTCTGTGGAGTTTCTTGCCAAAAAACTTGTGGATCATATTGTAATTATTTGCCTTTCGAACACTAAACCTGTGAGTATAATCTTGTTGACAGATAATACCTATAATTATCTGTTTGCTACTTTGTGCTTGTCTAACACTATCTAATATCTATAATTGTATATATTGATGGATTTACATATTCAAGTTGGCTCAAGTCAGTGAGTCTATGATTTTGGTATCATTTTGGCTAACTGTGTCTAACTGTGATATTATTATTGTTGCTGTTGCTTGTTGCCCTTCTTGCCGTGTATTACTTTCCTTTTTCTGGTGTTGTTCTGATTGCTTTATTCCTTGTTTTCCTGGTTTTAAGGGGAGCAACCCACAAGGTCACTTCTCTCTAAACTATATCTTAATGTAACAGTCGCCTTCTCAGGCTTGAGGTTAGCAATCCCACCCTGTAAACAAAGTTGCTATAGAAACTTCAGCACAATGAATCTCCTTGCGCCGAAAGAAAAGTCTGTGTGGGGACATTGAACGTCCGCACCACATAAGAGATTGGCAAAGCTGCCCAGATCACAAACGAAATGAAAAGATTTTGAAACAAATAGGCAGGAAGAAATGGAGATGGATTGGCTGAACATACTCTGAGGAAACCATTAAGTGACATCACTAGACAAGCCATCGCTCTAGTGGAACCCGACTGAATGGGAAGCGGCGAGTCGGTCGTCAGTGTGAGGGTGACTTAAAGGAGGTCATAGGATGTGGAGATGAAAGCATGTGGGCAGACTGGGTGTCAGATGACAACGTTGGCAGAGAATCGAACTCAATGGAGATACGCAGCTGAAGCCCTATGTTCCTCAAGGAATTAAAGGAAATAATGATAATATGGAGTTCTTAGTCTCGGAGATCAGAAAATGTCCTTTAACGCTTGTAACAATGAAGCATCTGTCGAGAAAGAGATCACAATTAGGAAGAATTAAGTCAAGTATTGTTCTGTCATATTCTTAAACAGATGACAGTCTAATCTAAGCGTTAAAGCCTGATTCACATTGCAATGGTACATCAGCTTATCATTTATCAGTCTGTTGAGTGAAAATTACCGTATTCAGTCTAACTGATACAATTTTACATTCTTTTCAGACGAAAAGAAAACAACTGAATATCCGGAGAACGAACTATTCAACCTACTTTTAAAATGTAACTGTCCTCACTCAGCTGACATATTCCATCATCTTCTTAAAAATGACAAAATATCATGGAAATCATTTGGATTACTTTTAGAAGAACAAATGCATAAAATCAATTCATCACTGGAGAACAATATCGACGACTCTTATGGAAATATGCGTGTCACGGTTCTATTAGCGGATCTGGTGAATATTCTACTCAGTGATGTCGAATTAAAAGGTATTGCACTGATTAAACATTAAGTCAGATGTCATTTTTATGGTAGATTTCATCAGGAACCAATAGCAGTTAGAAGGAAACCATTGAAAAAACCCTGCTAAAGAGAATCGGCACAGTATTTTCAGGTTACGTGGGAGGAGATACGTTATCATTCAACCGATGGGTCAGTATCCGATGGCGTTATATAGCCCCCCCCTGCTAGCCTGTCTCGTCAGTTACTATCTCTCCTCACACACGGCTTGGTTATAACCTCATTTTAGACGCTCAATAAATTCATCCTGTGGTTAGTCACTACTGAGAATTGGATTGGTTTCACTGTTGCGTTGTTGCTAAAGAGACTCGAATAAGGACAAAACAGCTATCTAGTTCTGCCTGGTTTTTCAGTGTCTCTTCAGCTGGTCTCCCCTCACGATGAGAATCACCTTAAAACCGATCGAATCTCTCAAAACAGCGGTAATTGTCTTCATATATCTTGATCCCATTCAGGGATTTCAGCTAGGGATGTAAAGCAGGAACTGAGCGATTTTCAGTTAATAGATCAGCAGTAACTCCAAACTATTGCAACCCAAACAAAAGATTAAAGGAAACAGATGTAGTGCCCCTGAGTAACCAATCAGATGAACTCGTTGTAAATGCGCGTAATATAAAAACTCTTTCATAAAAGTCAAAGTTAGTGTTTAAAAATTGTTCTGCAAGGTAACTTTCTCGTATATGTCCTAAGAAAACTCATTAATCCCTAAATAGAATTTTCAGTGATAGTCCCAAACTATTTCTGGGCATAAATTTGTTCAGAAAACTGTAAGTTATTCTGTTTCGTGACCCATTCCCTGCTCTACAGCACCCATGAACCTAAAAAAGGAATGACATATCTTCTTGAACAGAATTTCTGTGACATCTGTAGACATTTCCATCAACAGTAGCTGCATACATCTCTAAAGACATTATTACTCCATGTCTACAAGCTTACTATAAGCTTATTATCCCGAAAGCACTCAAATACAACCTCTTGATGGAATTTGCAACGTAATTCATGTACTGCATCTATACACACCTGATATCTATGGTCGGCCTGCAAAATTTGGGCTACCGATATCCATGCTGAAAATTTCATACTTGTACCAAAAATACAGTGTGGAATCAAGCTGTAAATCAAAAATCAAAATCAAATCAAAATCAAATCATCATGGGAGCATTTGATCGTTTTATCTGGGTCAATACGTCAGTTTACTTGAGTTTTATGTTTCGATTGCTGAAGTTTATAGTTACTAGATTAGCTATTCATTATTTCTAATCGATTTTTACCTTAGTAGATCCAAGAAATTCATGTTTCTGTAATCATACAAAGGGTCAATATTCATTATATGTGCTGATTATGTTATGAATAAGGCCACTGAGTAGATAACCTTTAAACTGTTCCCACTGATAGTCAGTTAAAACAAAACGGTAGCGGTTTTTAATCTGAATTATTCATTGTCATATCGCCTAGATACCGATTGATAGAACTTATAATTAACCAAACTGTTTGTCTAGGGAATATTTCCAGTTCTATTGCAAGTGAGATTTAAGTTTGATTTTGGCAATTTTCAAGCGGAAGAAACACCTTGACTTTATGAAATCGATTAAAACATAACACCATACAAGTTTTCATTAGTTGGTTTTTAAGGATTAAATTTGTTTTTACGAGTTGATCACGTATTGTCATCAGTTAGAGAACTAATGAAAACCAGGGAATACTGGACACCTGTGCATCCTAGACTAGGAATCATCTTCAGTACGCACCCATTGCCAGGGCTCGAACTCAGGACCCTCTGGTCACAAGGCAAGCTCGTCTCCCATTCGGCCACTGGGACCAGATTCAATGACTAGCCCATGAATTATAACTTCTATCAGTTCATGATATAGCGTGACCACCAACCGATGTCATCGCTGGGACATCTATCCTCACACTTTACTGGGAGAACCTCATCAGTCACGTACTAGTGCGCACTGCCAATGATTCTCAAACTAGGATGAAACAGCTGGCTGTCCAGTACTCCAGTGCTGGTTTTCAATGCTTCTCTAACTGATAACAATTCGTGATCAACTTGTAAAAACAACACAAGTTAATTTATGGTATTACATTCGTGTACATTAACCTAAAACTATTTATTCTTTTGTGGTAAAATCACCATCGAACTTCAATCAAGAATTTTCATATATTAAAATCATTTCGTTATATGGTTAAACCTCCAATTCGTTGAATGATCCAATTTCACTGATACACACACACACACACAATCTGCGTAGGTGTTCTAGCTTTGTTAAAAAAACCGGCCTATTTACTTGTTGTTATACCTTGAACACAGAATTAAATTAAAACACTAGTAAGTCTATCATTCATTATGAAATACTTTTTGTAGTAAGAAGAAGAAGTCCTGGAATACTGAAACGGAATTACTAAAAAAAAGTGGGGAGGTTGATAAACACACAATAAATTACGCAGTAAAACAAGCAGAATTCGTAAAAATCGAGAGAGTCAATGTTTAGAAATATGCACCAAAAGAGAAAACAAAAAAATAACGTAAATTTATACAGGCAGATTGATACACATTTGCATGTGTTAGTTTATATGAGTTTAAGTGATTTCACGTTTAATCACGAAGTGACTTCATCTGGCGAACCACTGGATTTCTAATAAAAAGCCATGACCAGTAACCGGATCCGTCAAGTCATTCAAGTGTGAGGACGGACACTCTCCCATGAAATTGTCTGGCGACTATGCTATATATACGGCGAATCTTTTGATGTGGTTGTGTTCTCTGAGCTGGATGGTTAATTTATGAAGCTTTCATCACCCTACTGGGTGACATCTTCAGCGCATACTTCAATTCGTTGAAGTAAGCTTTTAGATTTCTCCAAGAGTTTATCAATCATCTCTCCTAGTGGGTGACCTTGGACGTGATTGGTTGTTTTTGTGTGTTTTCACACCTTCTAGGTTACTTGTATTGGAACTGATTGTTTCTTTGACTTGAACTTTGACCCTTTGTGTGTGAGGTTTCTTTCTTATCGGTTGATAAATTTTGTCTATCTCGATGTGTCTATTAATTGACGATTCACTGCAATCCCTGGAATCACTGGAATCCAAAAGAATGGATAACCACGGAATTTCATCAAGAGACATATACCTCCAAGCCAACCTACCAAAGCAAAAGCCACCAAGGAAAACACAAAGAAAATCGCTTTACCATATATAAAGGATATCTCAGAAATTATTGCAACACTTTTCAAAGCTTTAGGAATTGACTTCGTACACAAACCAATAAAGTCGCTTCACTCAATTCTATGTCAACCAAAAGACTCAACAGCGAAAGAAGATAAAACCAATATCATCTACAAAATAAATTGTAACAACTACGAAAAACACTACATTGGCCAAAGTGGACGTTCCCTTCGTCTTCGTATCCACGAACATAAGTTAACCGTTAAAAGACATGATATCCACCCACTCATTTCACTACACACAGACAACCACGGACATCAATTCGACTGGGACAACGTTCAAATATTAGACAGAGGAAACAACAAGAATGCTAGAGAATGTTTACAAGGCTGCCTGGTATTCCAGTGAATCGTCAATTAATAGACACATCGAGATAGACAAAATTTATCAACCGATAAGAAAGAAACCTCACACACAAAGGGTCAAAGTTCAAGTCAAAGAAACAATCAGTTCCAATACAAGTAACCTAGAAGGTGTGAAAACACACAAAAACAACCAATCACGTCCAAGGTCACCCACTAGGAGAGATGATTGATAAACTCTTGGAGAAATCTAAAAGCTTACTTCAACGAATTGAAGTATGCGCTGAAGATGTCACCCAGTAGGGTGATGAAAGCTTCATAAGTTAACCATCCAGCTCAGAGAACACAACCACATCAAAATCATTCACCTGAGCTACAAATCTTCTCTATCATATCTATATGGTGAATCCTCAGGAGTTAGAAGTATTGGGTCAGTAGATTCCATCCAGTGGCTGAAGTTTGCAGCTTCGATCCCCTGTGGGGGTCACAGGTGCATACTACTGGAGAGTCTTAAACAAGGACGAATTGGCTATCCAGTACTCCTTATTTCCAATGCTTCTCTAATTGAAGTCATTTTGTGATGAAACCTGATAGAAATGTCTATTGTTTAGAATTGTGTTTACAGCCTTATATATATATATATATATATATATATATATATGATATTTAACACATTTATACAAAGCAGTTATTCCACCGGAGACTCAGGGTCATGAAGAATCCTTGTTTTAGTAGAATCATATTACAGATCGCTACATAAGACAATCTTACCATAGGTCTTCGCAATAGGTGTCTAAGTCTGTAATTAGCACTTGTGGAACACTACCAAAATGGTTAATCCTGATGGAGAACCAAGAGTCTAATTATTTCTATTATGTAAATTTGTTTAAGTGTTGGTTTGTAGGGATTTGATTGGTTACAGGATTTCATTATGAGTTGACATTAGTTAGAGAACCATTGGAAAACCAATTAGGGAGTACTGGACAGCTGTTTGGTCAGCCTAATTTGGGACTCTTCATCAGTACGCACCCACCGGTATTTGAACCCAGGACTTTCTGGTTACAAGATGAGGTAGCTCGCAGACCATTAAGCCACTGGGACCCGATCCAAAGGCCAGTCCATGAATTCTAACTTCTGCCAATTCATGACATAGCGCGACCCCTAGCCAATGTCTTCGGCAAGTATTTGTCCTCACACCCGACCTGCTGCACCCTAATGGTCACGACTTCCCACTAGAAGCCTAGGTAACTACCTACCTGAATGCGGCAAATCACTGGTGAGCATCTCATTGATATTCAAGTGTTGGTTTGTAGGGATGGTTCTCTCACTAATGTCAGCTCATGATGAAATCGTGTAAATTTCTTTAAGTTATTTTTATAATTCCCATTGGTTGATTATATTTAACTGAAATGCTCAGCCTCTGTTAACGTGTCATCTCCTCCTAGGAACACTTCGACGATGTTTAAAGTTATTTGGTTGATGGAGACTAGCAGTGGAATCTGGGTTGAACATTCCATCCTACTTGGGACTCGTTAGCTGGATATATCTACATCTTCAGGGAGTTATTCATGTGGCGTTTAGAATAACGGTTGCTAGTTCGAGCCTCGCGCGGAACACTAGCACTCAATAGGATTGTAAGCATACTCAAGTGATGAGTCTCACATAGGACGAAATGCGCATCGCGGATTCTACTGGTATTCACCAATGATTAAACATCAGTATATAATGTTCAGTTAATAACCAATTTTAAGGCGCACAGTTTATGTCTCATTGATTACGTGGTAGGTGCGCCTTTGTCTCCACTAGGTCCACCACTCAAAACTTCCACCTAATTAATATATGTGTAAAACTTGGGCACTGTGGTAATAAGTAATTCTATATTAGTCTCTTTATTAGATATATCCCACAGTGAAACAGTACTATCTACTGGATGACACAGTTTCGAACACAATTTTTTATTGATCACAATCATATCAATTATAATCACAAGACTTCGAAACTTGAGTTTCATAGTTTTCTTTGATCTCTCCTATTTGTCGTCGTTGGGGTAGTAGAATTTTTCAGATGTCCGACTGAACAGTTGCTGAATCATTCTTATTACACGTATTTGCATTTGATTCGATAAACAAAGCTTCCGCTTATAATCTCTGCCTTCACCCCGCTGTTACATAAGATTTTAAAACTGTCATCTTATTCCATCCATCGTATATTGTATGTTTGTGTGTAATTGCATGTCGTGAGTGCTATAGCTGAACAATCCTCCAGATTTCTTATCTTATTCGGGTCCACTAATCTACATTTTGCTAGGTTATTATTCTTGGCTATTCTGACTGCCCCTGTTCTACTCCTTTGACCTATGTATTTGACCCGACAATCATTGCAGGCCGGGTATTAGATAAACTAAATTGTTTTATTTGAAAGACTCCACAGGATTGATGCTTCAACCGACAAAGCTTGCTTCTAATTGAGTTTGTGGGTTTGAATGCCGAACAATTTACTCCTGCCTTGTTAAGAATTCTGCGTAAGGTTTCCGAGGCTCCTTCCTTGTATGGAATTACTACTGATGATTTAGATTCCTTATTGTTGATGTTGTCATTATCCTGCGCATGTTGGACATGCATGCCGTCATTAATATTACTATTATTATTATCACTGTCACTATTATCATTATTTATTAATTTTTACATTTCCTTACATACTTTCTGACTAATTTATCAATGTAGTTGTTAAGTTTCAAAGCTTCTCTTATATACCTCACTTCTTATCTTACATTTCCCTTGGTACTACCTAGTTTTTGTGCTCTATTATGCAACCATTTCACCAATCCTATTTTTACTGACAGGATGGGATGATCGGAAGTCCAAATGTCTGTTTGAATGTGTAGGTTTCCTGTAAACACTGGTGTTTAACTTCCCATCTTGTTTCCTTTTTACGCTACAATTTAACATTGGGACCTCTCCTTCCTGATTTTCAAATTCATAGGTGAAGTGAACTGCCTCCACCTTTGAGTTGATATGTTCGAAAAATCTGTCCCATATATCTGGAAAATGCTACTGCCCCAACGATGACAAATAGGAGAGATCAAAGAAAACTATGAAACCCAAGTTTCGAAGTTTTGTGATTATAAGTGATATGATTATGATCAATAATAGATTGTCCATTATAATAGAGGTTTTTGTATTTCCCAATGAATGAAAAACGATATCGTTATGTTTTTCATTCATTGGGAAATACAAAAACCTCTATTATAATGAATATCATATACCCAATGCCCAAATTTTTTCAAACCGTTAAAAGTGAATAATAGATTGTGTTCGAAACTGTGTCATCCAGTAAATAATACTATTTACTCACTGTGTGATACATCTAATAAGCAAACTCTCATGGGATTCTTTCACCTTATATCTGTCCTCTGACTTCAGACATCTAGGAATGAAGATTTCAAACCCAAATAATAAATAATTTCAATAGTATTTATCTCACTGATCAAATTATAACGATTTTAAGATCAGACCCAAAATAACTAACCGATTCTGTGTTTTCCTTCATAGATCAACATAAAATTTTGGAAATGATTGTACAAAAATTGAAAATTAATTCTGTGTCTTTCTGGAAAAATCTGCTAGAAAACAATCCATCAAGCTGTCGTGATGTATGCAAATTATGCGGTGCTTTCGAAATAGTGAAAGTAAGACAATTACACATACGCAGGATGGTACACTTAGTTCAGCTAGCTATATCTGGCATTTCGACAGTTGATACATCACCCGACTAAAGAGTTAGTTCAATCTGTTGGTTTTAGTTTATGCATCGAAAGACAAAAACGATGAATGTTTTTTTCTTTGAATATCTCCATCAAAAATAAGATACTTTTTATGCTTTCAGTTTGTTCTACAAAATACTTTTTACGATATAAAGATGAATAAATATATTGTTGATATTAAAACGAAATTTTACTTATTATAAACACTCAAGTATTTCTCTAATCTCCCTTCCATTTGTGGAACTGACAGCACCTTGAACATTGAAAATTAGTGTCAGGCAACTGCTAAAACACAGACACGTTACTCAAAGCGCAGTGGTATTAGCCAATTAAATCTTTAAGCTTTCAAAATAGATTAATTTATGGAAGCTGGTTTGATATATCTCTTGGATACCTATTAGTTACTCTGCTTAAACGACTTCAAGCTCATTTCCGGTTGGTTTCAACCATATAAAACTCCCATAATTGTTGTGTAGCCATCTATAATGTTAGCCATGGGCTTTAGCCACAATACCTGCTGACTCTTTAGCCTGATCAACCTAACCTAGTGGCCAGGATATTCTTAACACCACCGTAATTAGCGAAGGGAGAATATGACTCTTATGGTGTAACGACAGAAGACAAGAGCCAGGCAACAGATCGTTTATTCAGAAAATCGAGAGGTATTTACTGATTTGTATGTACATTATTGTTAGCGGAGAAGCAAACTCTTCTGATTGATTGATTGATTTCTTGCTGAAGGTTATTCCGTACTGCTTGTGGCCTTTTCTCAGAATCGTATTTGCACACTTTAAGTCCATTGTGGTTGGTCGGTTGGTGAGTTCCTCAAGGTTTAGCTTTGTTATCGTTTTTCTCGCGATCCTGATTCCGGACGTAACACTGACGTAAATTATCGTTTATAATTTTGGCTTGTTCACAGCCATCTCTCACCACAACGGTTTCTCAAAGGTTTGTTTATTAGCGATGACTGGAGTGGATGATTGAAATACACAGTTATACCACAACGCCTCCGCTGAACTCTTGTCACTGGAAAATGATATTCACCACTGTGTGTTTCACTCTGCAAAGGTAAACAAACTGCTCCATGACAGTGAAGTAGGTGAGGTCCAGTTAACTTGACGAACTTCTTTGATCCCCTATATTTCAAATGGAAATTCATGGAAATCCGGGACATATTTTTCGGCTCCAAAAATGTGTTTCACTTTCTCACAAGTGTTGTTATTTGACACATCAAACCATTTGATTGGTTGTCACAAGGTCATTTAGGTGTGACGCGTATTCTTTATGATTGCCCCATGTCATAGATAGTGTGCATAACACCGTTATGCTGTCTAAGAGGGAATTTATAACAGTTTAATGAATTATACACCTCAGGGACGAATAAATCTATAAATCCAATAGACTATGGCTTGATCAGTCGATTGAAACAATGAAGTTTATCATTCAATCTTAATTGTTGATAAAGTTATGGTCTGTTAATTTTTGGGATGTATTTGCCGCTAAAACACTGATAAAAAATATTAAAAGTCATAATTGCTGAATACCTTATACACCAAATCTGTAAAAGGTTGATAGGCCGCTAGTGCTACTGTGGTGATTGACTATTTCTATCTCTGTATTGTTTAAATACTTACTGTTGATTGATAATATATTTCTTATATGAATTGCATAAGAATTCCGCTAAATAAAAGTTCCTGAATTCCGCCCTCTCTGTGTTTTGTTTGGATTCTTGTAATTCGGTCATCTCGAAATACTAATACTACGAATTCAATAAATTACTACAGGCACGTAACCCTGTGCCGGTACAGAGTTAATAGAAATAATAGTAGATACGAAAAAATTTTAAAAATAATATAATTAAAGTGATAATAAAAGACAATTTAAATCTCTGTGAAATCGCACTAAGGCATCAGCGTCATTTCTTCTTTTGTTTCTCTTTACTCCGTTAGTCATGTGCATTGTGCCCCTATTCACCTGGGACTTTTTCTTTACTTTTACACTCCTTTATTACTCCCTTAATTCTTCCTTTTTCTCTGAGTGTTATTGTACAAATCTCTATCTCTTAACACATTGATTTCGTGTATAGAAGGTTGCCGGTGCCCTACCAACCCTCTAAGAGTGGATAACGTGTAGTGCACCTTGAATATTTGAGCATTTGTTTGAACGCATTCATGTAAACATTATTGTTTTCTGGAGTGACTGATCGCACGTAACTCGCTCCTTCGTTGTGCTGTCATTAGGCGCGCTCTCGAGCTTGCTGCTCCAACCCGTTAACAGATATGTTGTACAGTATTTGATATGTCATCTGCAGTAAAAATATAATCCACACTACTAAGTCACAAGATTTTTTACTTCAAGTTCCTTAATCGGTACTCATACGTTAGTTAGAGTACTGATTAGGGCATTAGGAGGAGAAGTCTTTAGTGAACTTAACAGCCAGCAACTTACAGAGTTGTGATTCAAGCCCTAGAGAGTTCTAAAAGGTAGATATAACAATGAAGAGAATATCCATCCGTGGGAAATCATTTTCAACATTATATACATCCAAAAAGGAATTCATTGTAAATAACTGAAAACTTGTAATTAAGTTGTAGAAAGTATTTTACGTAATATGTGGAATTATCTAAAGTGGGGTATCTAATTGGAAATCAGGAAATGGAAGCTCGCTCTACATGTTAAGTGCAAAAATGGTTTAGTTTATTTGAATATATAAAGTGGAAAGAAAGACACTACAGAAACGGTAGGGTTATTAAATATAATCTGTATAAGGAGGCCAGCATTGTAAATAAACAATCTATTGAAAACGTAATAATGATTAAAATTACAAACTGAACGATGAAATCATGACCGAAATGCTATGTCATTTTTAAGTAAGTAAATAAGTGTATGGCTCCCAAAAAGCCAGTAATTCCGCTGTTCATAAATGGTCACAAGTGCGCTATAAGTATAGAACCTGAAGGAATAATTTTGCTGATGGTCACAATAGCTCATTCTCAGCTATCCCTATTAGAATTTTACTGGGGATCTTAGGTATTGCCACCACTTTATGTACATAGCTGGTGACTTCAGAACTAGAGAACTGCATTCATACCTCCAACCGCTTTCCAAAAGGTGACTTATACACGTTGTATGTATCTCAAGGATTGCGTACACGGGTGATTCTTGGTATCGCTTACCTACTGTATTAGGGAGGCCTTGGCAGTTTAAACCTCTTCTATTTGTCATACAGTAGTAAGAGTAGTAATCTCATCACAACGTACAAAGTTCTGGGAAATTACTATGGACCTGATCCACCTTCCCATTTTTTTCTCAGTGAATGCTAACACCTTGGGGATACAGTGTGAGAGTCAAAAACCAACGAGGAACTATATCCATATGGATTGTTGGTAATCCCATCGAGTTGTAGTCTCTCGTAGCCGTTTCATATTTCAAATTTAGCGACAGATAGGCAGATAAGTCCCACTACGATTAACGAGGAGGACGCCAATGAACGGCGTAATGTAGTCTCTCGCAGAAAGCGGGATAAGAATAACACATCGGCTGCACCGCCCACGAAGGACATAAAGACACTTACTCCGCACAGCAAGAAAGCCATGGAAAGCAAACCTCATCTCTCTAACGGGTCGCTCATTCTCCACAAAGTGGAAGAGCCACTGGTCCCCTATCCCAAGGCCAGATCCGAGCATGACCTTGACTCGGTTGAGTCCCTTTTAGAGAAGCTACTGCCACAAACAGTATCAGGCATTACTATACACAGCGTATATAGAATAAGCCAAAGGCCTGACCCCACAATAAGTCAGCATGTACGTCTCCTCATAGTCGTACTAAACTCGAAAGAAGAGAGGGATGCTATTCTTAGCAAATCTCAAACTCCGTGCGTCGGTGGCACAGTCGTTAGGAGTCTCGCCCACCATGCATATGGTCCGAGGTTCGATCCCCTGCCGACGCACACCTGATATCTATGGTCGGCCTGCAAAATTTGGTCTACCGATATCACATGCTGAAAATTCCATACTTTTACGAAAAATACAGCGTGGAATCAAGCTGTAAATCAAAAAAAAATAAAGGATTACGGATATGTGTCCGCTCCGACTTAAGCCCAGCAGACTGTGTCAAAGACAGTCTGCGACCCTAGAATTAAGCGAACGGCGCCGAAAAGGCAAAAGGAACCTTAAAATTAAGGGTTTTCGGGTTGTCTTAGTTCTCAGTTTAATGATCCCGAAACCTCTGTGAGTAGGCCAAGGAAGCACCGAAGTGAATTGACAGTTTGCTACACAAACGCCTACAGCCTGTCGAATGAACGGACTGAGTTGGTTGACATGATAGACTCCGGAAACCCGGATGTAATTATCATCACAGAGACATGGCTCATACCCGATGTCACTGACAACGAAGTTAACTTCGAAGTGCGTACAGTGGACTTACTAAACCGCAAGGGGGGTGGCGTAGTCATCTACCTCAAGAAATGCTTAACCGTGCGTAGTGTCGAAGCACTCGCTCAAGAAAGTGAGTCATGCGAACTTCTACGCTGCATACTTAAATGCGTAGGCCAAGACATTGATCTCATTGCTATGTCCCGCAGTCCTGACTGTAGTGCAGATGACTCCCTGGACTTCGAAATGTCGCTGACTTCAAAGACTCCACAGTTGAATGGACGAGCTTAACAACTCCATCTTCAGTCAACTCCTTTGATCATAAACTGCTGGAATCTAGTATATTGCTAGCCCTAGTCCAACATATTGTTAAGTTCACGCGATATGACTCACAACACTCCTCCTCAACTCTGGACCTAGTGTTGTCCCACGGTGAGTATGTGGATCTCATGCAACATCTTCCTCCTTCAAGAAGTGATCATGCTGTGCTCACTTTCAAGTTCACAGGAACGGCAGGAAGGGCCAAAACCCCAGCCCGACCAAACGTTTGGAAAGCTGATATAAATACAATCATCTCAGCAGCCAACTCAGTAAACTGGTGCATCAACCCAGAGTCCCAAGTAGAAGCCACATGGAACCTATTTAAAAACTTTACTCCCAAGTAACTGAACCTTTCATCCCTTGGTCTGTCCTACGGGGTCGGAAACATTGCCCCCTTGGATGAACCAAGTGATTCGTAAGTTACTCAGACGTAA